CTAGTGTACAGTACTACTCGCTAGATACGAGTATTGCAGATAGATGTCTCTACAATGATGATTAATGTTTGGCTTTTGTTTTGGGCACAATGCAAACCAAGTGACATTTGTGTGACATATAACACTAGTGTACAGTACTACTCGCTAGATACGAGTATGGCAGATAGATGTCTCTACAGTGATGATTAATGTTTGGCTTTTGTTTTGGGCACAATGCAACCCAAGTGACATTTGTGTGACATATAACACTAGTGTACAGTACTACTCGCTAGATACGAGTATGGCAGATAGATGTCTCTACAATGATGATTAATGTTTGGCTTTTGTTTTGGGCACAATGCAACCCAAGTGACATTTGTGTGACATATAACACTAGTGTACAGTACTACTCGCTAGATACGAGTATGGCAGATAGATGTCTCTACAATGATGATTAATGCTTGGTGATAGCTAGTAGTATTGTCAGAGACAGCTTACACTTTTGAACAAAAAGTTTGAAGTATATATTTGGCAGACTCATAAAGCCTATGTCCCCATCACACCGCACATATGCTTTTACTGACCCAAAAATCAATGCTCGTTATAATAGACTAGATGCGAGTAGAAATAATCTTGATTTACGTCATTAAATATTCAAAATCCAGTCAAAGTGATGTCATATTTGAAATTTACATGTAAAAGTACATCTAGAAATATGGTTTCGAAAATTGTTTATCAATTTTGAAAATTTAATTATTTTTGAAAATGTGACTTCTAGTTCGGGTTGATTCTCCATAGAGCCCATGTTACAAAATTACAAATAGTGAAATATCTTTTCTTGTCTTGGTCAGATAACATTTTCTTTTACTGGACATATTTTGATTTGCATAACTATTAGATACATAAGGGTTATATGAAAATTGAACCACTAAAACAGATGTAATTTAAGTTAAAGGGAACTTTTTACTATACCAGCCATGCTATCTGACCCGAACGAGCCACCTGGTGGTGAAACTGGTAACTACCTACTCGTATCTGTGTTATTGTTGCAATAACTCTTCATTCATGACCTTTTTGGCATGATCTTAGCCAACAGGTAGTTTTTGAATATGTCTACTTGGTCAGAATAGATGAAAGGCATTGATGTACTGAGATTAGAGGAATAATCTTTGAATGTTGTCAAATTAACATGCATCTCAATAGACCTAAAAGCTGGTTGTTTTCTATGTCCATGGACGGTTGTTGAACTCTGAGCTGATTTATGACTCTATTAATGCTTGGATTAACAGCATGGATAGTCTGGCACTTTTAATTACAATAAATGAAATTTATATTCTTGTTAACATCTTAATTTTGTTGTGCACTGAATGCAGTATGAGATAAAAACAAAGACAGGGTGTCACAAACAGAACAGCCATCCCAACAATTTTGGAATAACATTTTTAGTTATGAAGTAAATCTAAGGAATATTCTTTTTCTGTAGATATCTTTAGATATATGAAATGATACTGAAGTGACATAACATCAATGAAATTATAATTTTAATCCTGACATGTTTCCAAGCTAAATCCCTCAAATATATGTCTTTCAAATGAAAACAATTTTAGAAGTGACTGAATTGAAATAATGCCAAAAATGGGAAATCTCAAGTTCATAAAATTTCATTTTATATGAGAGCATGCCAAGATAGAAAACAGTATTTCTCTAAATTGTTGTCATTAATGTTAACTGAATGATACCTGAAAATTCAAATTCTACCTGCAAATTCAAGAAAATGCCATCATAACTGAGAAAGTTGTCAAAAATAGGGGCAAATATTTTTATATCACCCTGTATGACAATAAAAATGTTTGGTCATTGGAAACACTGTTCTTCAGGAGGTTCTGTCATCCATTTTTGCTTGTTTCTCACTCCCATCTCGTATATGTTGGGAGGTAACACTACAGACTTCATTATGTCTCCACAGGTCTCTGTGTTTTCACAGCTCTCTAATTGCAGCTTTTATTTATGAATAGTCTCATTCTCACAAAAGATTCATTCTTGCACAAATTCAATTAACTTAATATTGTCTAAATCAACTTATGACACATCAAGGTTCTCTGTATGTACAGATAATAGATATTTCATGCCCAGGGGAGGTGTAGATGTAATTGAATTGCAAGACAGGGCCATTTGGTGATTTTTACATATACTTCTTACCATCGAAAATAGCTTTGAAATATGGAAGTAATTTGTGCTTTCATAGTAAAATAAACATGTTGTTCTCTGGGATTTGTAAATATGAGTTATGGACTCATAGTTGGTAATAGATTTTGAGACTTTTATGAACAATTTTACGAATGATAAAAAGGGCTTTCTGTCTGAAAGGAGGGGAGTTGTTTGTAGAATGAATCTGGGAAGTGAATCGGGAGAGTTATTTGATTGTTTTGGTTTATATCGCAATCCAAAAAGGTGTGTATTAAAGATTTACTTTCCTGTTATCTCAAAATCTGCTTGGACCTGTACTATTGGATTACTCTGAGAAAATTCTAGGGATTAGGAATTTATTTGTATACATGAAACAGCATTTATTTTATTCAAAATTGAATATGTTCAATGATTCCCAGTCCTCTGAAGTTAGAAAAATGAAAATACCTGGGTGTTACACGTGTAATCCATAGAAAATTGTTATCCCACTGAACGAAGTTCGAGAGGGATATAGGAAAGCCGTCCGTCCGTCCGTCCGTTCGTCCGTCTGTCTGTCCGTCCGTCCGTCCGTCTGTTTGTCCGGGCGATAACTCAAATAACGTTTCACGGATTTGATTCAAATTTTATAGGCTTATGCCTTATGGGTGTAGGACCTCTGCTCGAGAAGGAATTTTCAATATGGCCACTGAATTCAAAATGGCCGCCATTTTTCGTAAAAAATGTAATCTTTAATAACTCAAATACTAGTTTGCGGATTTGGTTAAAATTTTATATGCTGATGCCTAGGGACACAGTAGATATGTTCGAGTAAAAATTTTCAAGATGGCTGCTAGATTTCAAAATGGCGGCCATTTTTCGTAAAAAAACTTAATCTTTGATAACTCAAATACCAGTGAACGGATTTGGTTCAAATTGTATATGGTGATGCCAAGGGACACAGTAGATCTGTTCGAGATACAATTTTCAAGATGGCCGCTGAAATTCAAAATGGCGGCCATTTTCCGTAAAAAAACATTATCTCTGGTAACTCAAATACCAGTGAACGGATTTGGTTCAAATTTTATATGCTTATGCCTAGGGACAAAGGAGCTTCGCTCAAGATGGGATTTTCGAAATGGCCACTGATTGTCAAAATGGCGGCCATTTTTCGTAAAAAAAACATAATCTTTGATAACTCAAATACCAGTGAACGGATTTGGTTCAAATTTTATATGATAATGCCTAGGGACACAATAGATCTGTTCGAGAAAGAATTTTCAAGATGGCAGCCTGATATTCAAAATTGCAGCCATTTTTCATAAAAAAGGGTAATCTTTGATTACTCAAATACCAGTAAACGGATTTGGCTCAAATTTTATATGATGATACCTAGGGACAAAGGAGATCTGTTCGAGAAAGAATTTTCAAGATGGAGGCTGAATTTCAAGATGGACGCCATTTTTCGTAAAAAAACGTAATCTTTGATAACTCAAATACCAGTGAACAGATTTGGCTCATTTTTTATATGATGATTCCTAGGGACACAGTAGATCTGTTCGAGAAAATTTTTTCAAGATGGCGGCTGAATTTCAAAATGGTAGCCATTTTTCATAAGAAAAAACATAATCTTTGATAAGTCAAATACCAGTGAACAGATTCGGTTCAAATTTTATATGCTGATGCCTAGAAACTCAGTAGCTCTGTTTGAGAAAAAATTTTAAGATGGCGGCTGATCTTGAGAGGCTTCAGAATGGCTGCCATTTTTCATTTTCATTTTCGTAATCTTTGGTAACTCAACTGCCGTTCGGTGGGATTTGCTACTCCGTGGAGTTGCAGTTTTTCTAGTTGAAAATGAGAAATATTTTATGGGATTATATGGTGCAATCTTTTAATAAATAAAATGTTTTAAAGTGAGTTGATAAAACATAAGCGAAATGCATGAAAATACTCCCCCGATTCATTCTAACAACTCTTCCTCCTTGGAAGAAATCTTTAAAGACTCAAGGTGGCTCAAATACCTACCAGTTCACTTTTTGGCTCTACTGAAGTATAACTGAATTTTGATAAATGATGATTTGAAGACTTTTGAAAATTTTGAATATATTTTTAGGAGTTATTCAGATATTCATTCTGGGAAAAAATTCATGCCATATTCTAAAAATCACAGTTTTTTGCTAGTAATATTTGGTTTTGGCGTCATTTCATTTTAATATCACAATAAACAAAACAAAATTCAATTTTAAGTTTTATATTTAAATTACCATTTATATGTTTTTGAACAAACAAACATAGATAGCTACTTACATCTGTATATCATTGCACATAATACTGGTTCATACTTTTTTGATTATATATTAGTCATATACATCTTGTTTTTTATATTCTAATGTTTATATTTTATACACTTCTGCTGATTGTCACCCAACTGTTTCATCAATTTCATTGATTAGTTTTCATCATACTTCTATTTCATTACCTTTTAGCATGTTTGATTGTATTACTGACATCAAGAGATATGGATCAAAAATTGCCCCAACGAAGCCCACCTCAATTCGCAACTAATCCTGATGCTGGTTTTATTGCGTCACTAATGCGACATCAGGCCAATTAAAGTCAATGTTCAGTTGTATTTTTGCGCAATTCAATTCAATCACAATTCTAGAACTAACCACATGAAATCAGTTTAGTATTCAGAATGTGTTAGAATATATATAGGAGGCAGGCATAGCATTATAAACACAACAATCATTGTAGTGATTGATGTGTTGTAATGTTATGATAACCATGCACTGGGTTGTTGCCATGGTGAGCATCCAACTTTTACAATCATAGTATGTTGTAATAATAGTAACCTTTGTAATCACATTATGTTGTGATGTTAAACATTGCAACCTTTGTAATCAGATTTTGTTGTGATGTTAAACATGCAAAATTTTGTAATCAAATTTTGTTGTGATGTTAAATATGCAACCTTTTATAATAATATTATGTTGTGATATTAAACATTGTAACCTTTGTAGGCATACTTTGTTGTTGTTGTTTTAAACATAGTGACCTTTGTAATCATAATTTGTTGTTACATTAACTGTCCTTAGAGTATTGTCCCGGCTGACAATCAGTTCACTGTGTTCTTTAGATTTTTTGACTTTTTCTGCAGGACAAAATAATTTTGAGGCCTGCATCCGGAATCCAGGTTTAACACAGCAATAGATAATAAAGTTAACTGATGAATTTACAACTAACATGAATTTGATGACAATATTATAATATGGCAGCCACTTTGGCGTGGATTGTAAGTCTTTATATGATTTTCTGATGATAGTGGCAATATTTGAAAAAGACGTAGGGATCATACATAACACAAATACCACTGCTACAACGACACACATTTTGGTGAATTTGATGAATGTATTGTTCATGCACTGGACTGCACACATAGACTTTCTTCTATCATCTTCGGGGAATGTTGTTGCGGGGACTGACCCATACTGTTTCACTTTATACATCGCTGCAATTATCCTTGCATTCATATAACACACCAAAATGACAGGTCCCCCATAGCGAAACACCATACCAAGTACAGAATACACAATAAAATAGCTGGAATTAAGATATAACTTAAACTCTGGTGCAACATAATATCCATTTGTAATGTTGGATGAGTTTGTGCTGGTACAATTGGAAGGTATCCCCCCACTCCTGTTTAGGTTCAGAGGATCAATGAGAAATCTCTCAATGGCATCAGCAGTCTTGGGAGTTTCAAGCATGACTACCTCAAATGCTCTGGGTATGCTATATACTACACCTAGCCCTATGCACACAGCCACCCAAACTTTAATGTTACGCATGCTGCAAACATGTGCACGGAGAGAATGACAGATCCCTATATAGCGTTCCACGGTGATGACAACCACTATCAGTGTGGTTATCATTTGTAAGCCCTCGGCTGTCGCGAACACTATAGGATAGGCATACATGGGGTAGTGTGCCCATTCTTGGTCACAAATCCAGTCTGTGTACCAGTATATTGTGGTGTAAGGGTACAGGATCAACTCTGCTATCAGGTATAGGATATCAGTTATTGCTAACGTCCGAAGCAAAAAAATTGTAGTGTTTATTTTCTGCATTTTATGCAAAATTGTAAATGAAAGTGTATTTCCAATTATTCCTAGAATGCACATTGGAACTGTAAAATATAGTCTGACTAGAATGTAAAAGCCTGTGTAGGCTTCGTTACTGTACAATGCCATTGTTTTGGTTATATGCGCTATCACTTATAAATCAGCGATATTTGGCTCTCACCTGTTTCATTCACTGTTAGTTCTCACACAAGTTAAATAATTGGCAATCCAATATTTTCTACTCTTTTTGATAAGTTTATAAAGTTAAGTCCACGACTGATTCAATGTTATTTTGATTTCAGTTTAATTTGACATCGTCCTTTTCAAGCTGCATCAATGCTGCATATATTACATCCAAGGTTCAGCCATTTACTTAATATATTTTACGCCTGAATACCTGCTGTTTAATTAATTAACGATGACAACTTTTCCTGTCAGTTGACATAAACCTACTGTCATAGTGTATCCTTCAGCTTATTGAGTGCTTGTAATAGAATATAATAGATCAATGTCCTTTTGTCTGTTAAATCTTAATTCATGTTCTTATTTAGGACTCTGTCATTCTTTATTCTAATTTGTTCTCTGTTTAATAATGCACAAGTCGGTCATAAGAAACAGTAGTTTAATAACAGGTGTTGTTAATCACCTGCCAATGTTTAGTAATAAAGGCATTAATATTTAGTGTCACTTGCCTGGCACGTCCTACATTTTATAACTTGATACATTTACAAATATGTTCAATTTCTTTAAAGTCTTTGTCTTTATTGCTCTTGTAGTGTTTACCTTTATGTATTTTCAAGTTCACAGAGGGTAATCTTTATGCTATGAAGTAAAATCCGTCTTTTGTCTGTTTTTATGTTCTCTCACCCAGTTTATGGCTAAACTTGCTTTCATAAATTTTGAATTCCTTAACATTAGCTGAAAGGGTTTTTGCTAGTCATTCAACATTATGCAGTTTTGTACACAGTATTTTTTAAAGTAAATACTGCCAAGTAAACTCCCAGTGTTCTGCTGTTTATCCTTTTTTAAATTGACAGATTCATATTTACTTTATAAGTTTATCTAGACTGTTGATTGGTTTGTAGTTTGTTTAGGTAGTTGATTGGATCCTATTAATTTGTTGTTCAGGCTGTTGATTGGATGCTGTTGATTTGTTGTTCAGGCTGTTGATTGGATGCTGTTGATTTGTTGTTTAGGCTGTTGATTGGATGCTGTTGATTTGTTGTTCAGGCTGTTGATTGGATGCTGTTGATTGGTTCCAGAAGAACCTCCTCACCTGAAAATAAACATGGAAAGTAGTTTGACTCAGAAATCTATATATTCTCTGATTAAATGTATTGATAAAGAATTAACAGTATTGAAAAACATTTTAACTCTTTTTTTTCACTGCTTTAATCACATATTGTGTTCCTGTTACTAACAAAGACAGTCAATATACAATGTTTTTCAATAGTTTCTGCAAATTACATATAATGATAAGCCTGTTAGTTGGCTTTATCATTTCTCCGCTATTGTTCCGAATTGAATGATGGTGTAAAGGCTTTCATCTTCGATCATGCATGTATAATAGGATTTATGAGGACAACTCTTGGCCTAAGCTTTAACTTACCATAAACCATATTCAAAGAATACAGTACAAATTATAATTTTAAAGTTGAAGTATTTCTGAATATCATTGTGCAATTGACTGAAGTCTGGTCTGCAATTTGAATTCTCTATTTTAACGGCACTGTTATTTAAGTCATTTTAGGTCATTTACATATATGTAACTCAAGGCTAATTTATGACGGTCAGGACCATTTATGACGTACTGTTCTTTGAATTTAGGAACTTTATATAGGAAGTTACGCTCAGAGCAAATGACAATATTTGTGTACATAAAATATTTGACAGATTGGAGTGTTGCCTTATCAGGTATATTATAGAATAAACATGTAAATAGTATACCCAAGAATACATGTAAATAGTATACCCAAGAATACATGTAAATAGTATACCCAAGAATACATGTAAATAGTACACCCAAGAATACATGTAAATAGTATACCCAAAAATACATGTAAATAGTATACCCAAAAATACATGTAAATAGTATACCCAAAAATACATGTAAATAGTATACCCAAGAATATATGTAAATAGTATACCCAAGAATACATGTAAATAGTATACCCAAGAATACATGTAAATAGTACGAGGGGTGATCCAAAAGTTTTGGACGCCCCGCTCTAACTTTGCTATTTTCTGATATAATTGCACGAAACTTTCAGATAATAAAGATTAACATCTTAGCAACTTTGTGTATAAGTTTCAACAGAAAATAATATATTTTAGCTTTTTGGTCAAGATTTTTTAACACTGGGTCCCTGCCACCCGGAACGGTATTTAAATATTGCAAATCACGTCACAACTGTTATAATATGGCAAATACTTTAGGTGCGGGTGCACAACCTAACACCAGTCATTATATGAGAGACTTTCCGATTTTCAATCTGAGTGCCATCTGCCATCATCATCTTCACATATTAAGACCTACTTTTCAACATATTTTCCACGAATTTGAACCCATCTTTCATACCTCTTTACCAATGAATGGAAGCCATTTATGAAACCGCCATTCCTTATGTGATACAAATGCTGCTGGAGTGCCACTCTAAACCTCATCCAATGAGTAAAAAAACATTTTCTTTCAACCCTCCTTTCAACTTCGAGAAAAGGAAGAAAATCACACGGAGCCATATCTAGACTGTATTGTGCATATGGTAGCTGCTAAAGGTCAATAATAGTGAAAATATCTTGTAGTATTCTTTGTTCCACTTTGATTTCTTTCATGTTCTGCATTTCAGCAGCCATTTTGGAGCAAAAATGATACCAGAATGAGGATTGCTTGTCTGATGTCATTTTCTTAGAATTTGACATATATGATCATTGTCATATGTGACATTATAATTAAAACACAATTAATTGGTTGCCTAGTAAGAAAGGAAGTAAACTAACATGGTTTAACATTCACAATTCAAAGAAAGACAGTGGTCAAGACTTGCGAAACAAGTCAAATGGCGGCAACATTTAAGGCTGAAAGTTGTCATGTGTGAAAACCGTTCCGGGTGGCAGGGTCCCCATATTAAAAACTGTCTAGAAAACTACATAAAACATATCATTTCTCCATGAAATTAATACACAAAGCAGTTAGGTTGTTGGTCTTTATTATTGGAAAGTTTAAAGTAATTTTATCAAAAACCAACAAAATTAGAGCAGGGCGTCCAAGACTTTTGGATCACCCCTCGTATACCCAAGAATATATGTAAATAGTATACCCAAGAATACATGTAAATAGTATACCCAAGAATACATGTAAATAGTATACCCAAAAATACATGTAAATAGTATACCCAAGAATATATGTAAATAGTATACCCAAGAATACATGTAAATAGTATACCCAAGAAAACATGTAAATAGTATACCCAAAAATACATGTAAATAGTATACCCAAGAATATATCGCACGCTATAATTGACATTTTCAAAAAACAGCATCATAACAATGAGGATCTATCTCACAAGGTATTATAATATATTCACACATTCAAACCAAATCATAAGGGGCTTTGCTTTTACTGTAGATAGTTGATAGTTATGCTGTAAAACCTCAGCCTATGATTTCAAAATATTGTTCAACCAGGAAGACCAAACTTTATTTGATGCTGCACTTTACCATTATAGTTTTTAATGAGTAGTATTTGGAACTTTGGAAGGGAACGTAAATGATGGATGAGTATCGAACTAGAAAATAGAAAAATGATATTATGATATATTTGATATACAATATATAGTTCATTATTAAAAGCTCCCTTGACCCCAGGCCAACATAAGCAACCTCGACAGGAATTATTTATTATATTATTACATCAGCATGGCAGCATGGTAATCAACTAATGGGAGGCGTTTGTAACTTCCTGTACACTCTGCCGTATTTGCAAAAACACTTAGGTAGGCTACAAATGATCTGCTGAGTAGTGTCCCATTGTCAAATCATAGAGCAGTATTGTATTATCTAATACAGTCGAAAAGTAACTTCATGTGATTAATCTCACCATCTTCTTACATTTTGATTCATTGCAAAAATATTGAACTTTTCAACTGAAGATTCTGGAGTAATTTAAAAGTGCATTTTTCATATGCTCGGATGCAATGTTGACATCTCACAACTGACGTCACTAAACTTCAATCTTCAGAGACTTAAACGAGCGATTGGCTTATGATCTCTGGTCATATATTGGTTTAATGATAAGAACTAGCAAACGATTAAAGTAGATCGAGAATCTCTTCAGTCTAAGCATTAAGATGTTTTGTGTATTTTATTGATGTTTAAGACAGCTTCAATGGTTTTATTATGCTTTATGATAATTGTCTTGCATAGGAATCATGCTAAGTTGACTTCATTTCTCTTGGAATAATAAAACGATCAGGTTTATATTTGGTTATCATTAAAAAATAATATTTAATTTTGTTATATCTACATCTAAAGTGGTGATTTATTGTCTCCATCTTTTTTGTGATGGCATTTGTCGGTTGGTGTGCAGCAGCCAGTGTTTGGTGTCTGTAACAAATAGCAGGTGGTGACATTTTGCATGTTAATGTGTTGTATCATTTTTGGATAATCTTTTGTTTCTACTGTTTATATAATATTACCAGGAATGAGAATACCACATTCATATTTTGATGAATCAACCAATTTGTTATTGAAGATTGAAAAATCACAGATCATAGCTAGTTGACTATTTTTTTCCAGTACGTTAAAGTCAGACAATTATTCTGTCCATGTCCCTCTTCTCATTTGCTGAACTCTGAGATTTGTTTGGATGCCAACTTGTCAAATGTTAATTAATGACACTTCCAAGCTACCAGTAATGATATATTATAAGAGATTTACCAGTCCCGGGATTTGAACTCATTCAACTTCAGTGTTTACCTTTCTTGTATACATGTACATATATCTTTATCACTTATTTTTTTGCCTCTTTATAAGTCCTTCACAATATTTATCGTCTTAGCATTCTTGAGAAGTTAGTCATGTTTTACAGTAAGACATCATAAAACATTATACACACACAATGAAACTGGATTTTATTTTGTTCATAAATTTTCTTTTAGTATCAGTTTTATTTTCAGCTATCTCATGTACCACCTTGTAAATTGAAGAAATGGTATTTGCAATCTCTCCATGCTGTTTTTTCATGAGTAACATACACGTTTGTTGAACCATAGGGTCAACCAATTATTGGGTCCTTGTTGGTGAAATGACTCCCATTTTTCATTCAGAATGTTTGGAGCCTTACATTACAAAATCTTCTCTATCATGTCTAAAGTTAACTAGGAATTAGCATCTTAGGAGGAAATGGTTTCCTTGTTTGGACATGGCTTATCTTCTGCTTGAATTTTGGAGAGAAATTTTGTTTTTAGATTTAAACACCTTTCTCATCAATTCTTTTTTCCTGACAGGCAGTTCATGATACCACTCAGTATCTGTAACAAATGGCAGGTGGTGACATTTTGCATGTAAATGCCTTGTTTCATGCTACTTCACTATGTATTTGAAATCATGAAATGAGTGACTGAGATAATTGTTTGAAGCTCATTTCTTTTATCTTTTGTTTCTATTTTCTCTCCTTTTCCGGGTTCCCATTTATTATTATATGCAGCTAATCTATACAAACAAAGATATTGTTCTGTATCAATTTAGATATTTTATAAATTATTCATTTAATAATTTATTTATTTTTATCCGCAACTAATGTTTGAATACCGTGAATATTATTCTCTTGGAATGGAATCAAAATAGATTTAGAATATTAAAATAATGTATGTCATCCTGTTTCAGAAAAAGTGGTTTAACAGATCCCTGTTGCTAAATGTCAGTTGTTTTCATGGAATAAATAGCATAGAGTTTCATAGTTGGGGTGGAATATGGATTTTATTCTGTTAGATAATGACCAATAATTAAATCAGTCACTACTGACTCACTATATAGTTGAATAGATATACTTCTATATTTGATCAAATATCTCTTTCTTTCTTTCAGAAAATTGAATTAGGATTATAAGGGAACCATTCCACCATTTTTAAAAGATTTTTTATAACATTTTAGACTCTATAGTCTTTGTTGAAAAAAAGTGGAAAAATAACAAGAAAATATCCTTAGATTACACTTTTTCTCATAAACATGTCATTGATGAAGCGAAAGATTGAAAGAAAGTTGAACTTCTCAGTGGTTAAACCATTCTAGAACTTAGACTTCGGTAAGATTTCAAATCAATGTAACAAAAGATCTGAGATTTTTGTCTGTCAATGTTATATCATGCCTCAAAATATAATCATATTCCTGCTCTTCCATTAAATAACACCTCTACGATGCATATGTAATTACTATATAGAGGTTTTGCATGGTAAAATACAATCTTCAATTTTTTCTAATATGCATATTATATTAGCTTTTAATTAAACTACTGTATGGTTCGTGCTAGTATATGCTATATTCTGCTAAAATACATCACTCTTCTGTTCAACAAAAAACATTCAAAACTCACATCATTTGAACAGTGTTAGTTAATTCAAACTTCTAATGGTTTTCCTTATACATGTATGATAAACACAATCAAATATAACACATTCAAATTAATTATTAGTGATAAGTTTGGCCTTCACATTTTACTTATCAACACATGAAGCATAGTGACATTGGTCATCCGAAGTTATTTACATGGTATTTCAAGGTACACTATCTCTAGCAAGGTATATACCTGTATATTCAGGTTAAATTCATGTAAAAAGATAACAGTATGTGGAGACTATAGAATTTCTCAAATGAGAAATAAGCTTATTTTACGATTATTTACAGTGAACCACAATCTAAATCTTCAATCTTTTAATGTAAATGTTTTTCTTTTCCTTTTTAAAAGTTGTGTTTTAAACTCCAAAAGAAATTCTTCCTCCAATTAATCATAATTTTTAATGTAAATATTTTTCTTTTCTTTTTTAATAGTTGTGTTTTAATCTTCCAAAACATTCTTCCTCCAATTATTGAATGTTAGAATTATGTCCCTCAACTGTAAATCTCACCCTGCTGTTCCACATTACAGTGTCAAGGTATATAATTATAATAGTCAACCCCTGTTTACTAAGCTGTCTTACCTTGGCTTGGAGAAGTTGTCTTAAATGATGCTATATAACACCTGTATCTAATTCACCTGTCTAACCTGCAAATCCTCTACAATTCTGCTCTATCTCCTTACTGTGCCTTTCTATTTCAATTGTTTCTAAGTACCATGTGTACACAACCGCTTAATGAAATATTAAACTCAAACATTATCCAAACAAATGTGATATTGAATATGGTTGTACCTATAACAAGATTACATCATTGGCTATGCAACACCAAGAGCTCTCAGAACTCTGTGGGGGATTCAGAAATTCCCTTATTGCTTTATCTTTAATTGAAAAAATCATTTCTTTATTTTAATACTTATAAAATTTCTGATTCAGCAAAAGGTTGATATAAGTGAGGATTATAATTTACAAGAAGTATGAATGTGGAAGCAATGGATAAAGAATCTAAATGTTGAAAGCATCATTTCAATAATCAGGTCAATATATTCCATAATAACAATCCCATTTAATGTCTTTAAAAGATATGGCATTTCACATCAAACGTTGAAGTATTTGAAAATTTTAGGTGCATAAATGTATAATTGACCTATAACCTTAAAATTGAAGCATTTTAAATTAAATAAAGTTTAGAACTGGTTAATTTTTAAAAATGTGCATAATAAGGAATGCAACGAGCATTGAAGATAATGCGAAATTGCAACATTTTAAAAATGTTGCAATCATTTAGCACCCCTTTGACTTGTTTAATACACTTAAGTGTTATCAGCAAACATTGTTCCTGTGAATGTTCCATGTTCCGACCTGGGAAATCTCAGGGAAGTGCTTGACTCTGCTAAGTCTATACTATGAAGGTGGGAATTCCTCATAGAGCTTTGGTAATTTCTGTTAATTACTGATAGTGACGTCAATTAATAGAGGGGGTGGAGTACATGATGAATTACACTTTGATTCTAGTGTTCGATATGGCATCAAGAGACAATGTGGGTGAGAGAGTAGTTGATATGGAACACATATTGGTACAATTAGAAACTGATTATACAAGCAGTCTTTTTAATTTGTTATGTTATGGCATGGTATTGTGTGCAGAAGAATACCTTTTAGCATATCGATTAATCATTTCTGTTCTGCCAAAAACCGTTTTGTTCAATAGAAAATGAAAAGCCAGTTATATGTACTTATAATATCTTTTTACCATTTCACACTTTGGACAAGAAAATTGATAAGGAAATGTGTTATGTCAGGGCATATCTCATAGGTTGGAGGTTAATAGAGGAAGCAATTATGTTTAAGGTGTTAGAACACGTCATTCGTCATCAAGACATGATAGACTGTGATTGGCAAACTTCTAGCTCTTAAAGTCCTGTATTATTCATTTGTATGACTCACCTGTCTCCCTGTAGGACTCACATATATTACTCAATTGTAGAACTCACATATATTACTCATCTGTAGGACACACATGTGTTACTCAATTGTAGGACTCACGTGTATTACTCAACTGTAGGACTCAAATGTGTTACTCAATTGTAGGACTCATGTGTATTACTCATCTGTAGGACTCACATATATAACTCAATTGTAGAACTCACATATATTACTCATCTGTAGGACATACATGTGTTACTCAATTGTAGGACTCACGTGTATTACTCAACTACAGGACTCAAATGTGTTACTCAATTGTAGGACTCATGTGTATTACTCATCTGTAGGACTCACATATGGTACTCATCTGTAGGACTCACATATGGTACTCAACTGTAGGACACACATATGTTACTCAACTGTAGGACACACATGTGTTACTCAATTGTAAGACTCACATGTATTTCTCAACTGTAGGATTCACATGTATTACTCAACTGTAGGACTCACATGTATTACTCAACTATAGGACTCACATGTATTATTCAGCTGTAGTACTCAAATGCATTAGTCACCTGTAAGACTTACATAACTCAACTGTAGGACTCATATGCATTTCTTAAGTGTGGGACTCATACATATTACTCAACTGTGGGACCTAGATATATTACTCAACTGTAAAACTCACATATATTGCTTCCTATTAGGATTTGCCGGTATCATTCCCATGATGTTCTTGATCATATCTCAATTATCTCTGTTCATTGTTTGTAGAACTTGCCCGTTTCACTGACATTTACTACTGACGTACTTATATGAATTCATGTTACTGCTTATTTTCCATAAATACTACTTGTGCTTTTTGTAGGTTTTTGACATTTTACTTAATGTACAATATGTGAAATTAATTTTTTTAAATTAGGAAAGATAATTATAATAGACATTTCAGAATATAGTTAGTTTAGATTTAATAATGATTGTCAAAATTCTATGAGAGTCACATCTGACATTCTGGGTTCCTAAGGCATTTTCTTCATAAAATAGACATCTGTCATTAATTGTGGCAATTCTAGAACATGCTACCGGAAATGCTAATCATAAAGTTATTTACTTTGGCCTAAATGTCTATAGTTTATAGTGATGATTTTTATGAGGGATTATTTACTAATCTGTCTTATATAATGCAGTGCTAAATAGTATTTTCTATTTTCCATTTTTACTCTGCGTGGTGATCACATTGATTTCAAACTATGTTATTCAAAATACAAAAACATGTTGAAATGTGAATGTTACAATTACATGCAGAGCTTGTTAAGTAAATTAATAACGGAAACCATGGAAATTAAGGACCAATGAAACGGGCTGATCACTGATTAATACTTACTGACCAGTGAATTAAGTTAATGTGTGGGTATGAAATTCCCTGATTAATATCCCAATAGCGTTGTCCTATGATCTGATTCCTTCTCCTTTAACTATAACGAGACCTGGTCAATTATCTGTGAGGATTATATGGCTCAATAGAGCCTTTAACATTGATTGTTTTCCATCTAACTCTGAATACTGACACATAACCTTACCTGACCACTAGTGATACATGAGACATATGTTGATTTACCTGTTATTTTACTCCAAATTACTAATTCTAAACTCTCAGAACAAATATCATGTTTTCATAGATCTTAGGTGTTTATTTGCCTGTCAAATTATGTTTACAACTCCCAGTATTAATATGACCAACTGACCTTGTGTAACACTGCTTAGGGGAGTTCTGACACAAGGTCTTATGGGATTGATATGCTCCTCATATGTAAAACATTTAAAGCTAATTAATCTTGTGTTTCCATGGTCAGTCAGATGATGGTACATGACATGAAGTATGTGGAGTTTATCTTGCAGTTCCTTTTAAATTATATTCATTTCACATGTATTTGACTGCTTTTAAAAACTTTTAAATTCTAGTGCACAATTAACATTCTAACCAAGTAAAATGCTTTTTGCCATGAACATGATAATGATTGATATTTCTCAAATTATGAGACTTCTGAATTAATATTCTGATGCTCAATATGGCTTTCTATTTGCAACTTCATCTTAAAACTGAAAGGAGTGGAGATAACTTGATTTATCATGATGTGATTTAAATGTTTATTCTCATTTCAGGAATGTAAAGTTCCAGTCATCGTGATATTCAACTCTGTCACATCTCATTCTCACGTCTCATTGTCACATCTCCACGTCTCTGTGCCACTTATTCTCACATCTCTCCGTCACATCTCATTCTCACATCTCTTTGCCACATCTCATTCTCACATCTCTCTGACACATCTCATTCTCACATCTCCCTGTTACTTCTCTTTCTCGCATCTATCTGTCACTTCTCATTCTCACATCTCTCTGTCACTTCTCATTCTCACATCTCTCTGTCAGTTCTCTTTCTCACAACTCTCTGTCACTTCTCATTCTCACATCTCTCTGCCACATCTCATTCTCACATCTCTCTGTCACTTCTCTTTCTCATATCTCTCTGTCACATCTCATTCTCACATCTCTCTATCATGTCTCATTCTTACATCTCTCTGTCACATCTCATTCTCACATCTCTCTGTCATGTCTCATTCTTGCATCTCTCTGTCACATCTCATTCTCACATCTCTCTTGCAACACAAGATGAAAGTCCATGGTTTACCATGATGACATGCAAAGTCTCAGCGTGCTTATTGAAAAGAAAAAGTTACTAAATCATAGTGTTTACACATTTTTAGATTGACCTAATGTATCATCTTTAATTGGTAAATACCAGCTTGTTACCTTAAAATTGGAGTCAGAATGTTACTTTAACATCTGGAGCAACTTTTTAATCATGTTTCCAGTTTCAGGTTGAACCTAATTTGCCTAATTTGTAGCTCTGTTTCGTTTTACAATTGATGATGATGATTATGACATTGTCACAGCCGGGGTGTCACAGTAATGCATGAAGGATTATGTGTCATAGGAACCCAGGAGCTCTCTTTGCGTTCTTACTGTACTCCCGAATGCAAATAGGTTTTATTAAGATAATCTCAAAAAATGTATAAAGGTTTATTCCTGGACATACAATTATTCAGGTCTACCACCATAACAGTAAAATGTTAAAGACTGACATTGCTCTAAAACACAATATTTTGACTTATTTTATTTTTACATTAATATATAACTGACGACAACATTATTAATGCTTTAATTCTAGGTGATTATAAACTGTTTTTCTGCATAATATCAAAACACAACCATATAGTAAAAAAATGAAAGTGTGGTGCTGGGATTCGAACCACAATCTACCGCTCTGGCCAGCGATGATTCTGACGCTAGACCACCATTATATTTGTTATATTTTGTGAGTTATTTAGCGCATATGATTTTCCATGTTCTACATGTAATCGATATTCTAAACTTGGAAATCTTCGAAAAATCGAATGGCCGGTGAGCAGTCGAAGGAACTATCCTCTAAATGACACATTTATCATGAGTATTTATACACAATGTTTGCCCCATTTATTCATCATTGTATAGTCTCTCATTAAAGCTCAAAATATCACTAAGTACCTTTGGAACAACCCACGATTGCTTTTTCATGAGAGGCGCAGTTTTAAATGTAAGGGTCATTTTGCAAGATGTTTTAACTAGATACTCTTAGTTTAAGCAGTAAATAGAAAAGTTGTAATAAGTAATATTTATAAGTTCTG